TGGGTCAGGCGCACCTTAGTCCTCAAGCTGACATCTCTGCTCTTCAATACTTTAAAAAGTTCCTGTGCAGCAGATTTGCCCAATGCAATACGTCGTCTATCTCTTGCCTGCTGCTTCCTTGAGTGTTGGTAGTTGATCCAAGAAGAATGAAGTCCTTGACAACTTCAATCTTTTCTCCATTGATAAGAATACAATAGTAGGTTAGTGAAACCACTATTTGTAAGACAGCCAAGTATCTTATCATTGTTTCCCTTCTTTTACCCATTCAGACTATGTCTCGATCCCTGTATCACAGAGCCCTGTTGTGATGAGCCTACATCACCGTTTACCTGTCCCATTTATCTCATGCAAAACCAAGTGTTCCCCTATCTACCTTGTTCTTCCATCTCCCTCCCCCTTGTTATGTATTGCTCTCCCCAACACCAGAACTATGATGTGTATATCCCCTAACCTGTGCTCTACATCCCACCCCTGGTAACCAACAATTTTTTTTTTTTCCTTTTAGTTATGGGTATATTCTCTTAAACTTTTACAGCAATGGTCTTATGCAATATTTGTCCTTTCGTGACTGACTAATTTTATTCAGCATAATGTCTTCAAGGTTCATCCATGTTATGTGATGGTTTGCAGCTTCCTATTTTTATTCATGGTAGCATAATGTTCCATTGTGTTTATGTACCAAAGTTTGTTTATCCATTCTTTCATTGATGGGCACTTTGACTGTCTCTAACTTTTTGCTATTGTAAATAGTGCTGCTGTAAGCATTGGTGTGCATATATCTATCTACTCATGTTCTGGATCATATTTCTTGTGGATATATACCAACTAGAGGAATTGCTGGATCATAAGGTATTTCTATTTCCAACTTTCTGAGGCCATACTGTTTTCCAGAGTGGTTGAACCATTTTACATTTCCACCAGAAATGTAAAAGGGTCCCAGTCTCTCCACGTCCTTGCCAGCATTTATTATTCTTTGCTTTTTTGAACTTCACTGTTATTGCTGGTGTGAGATGATATCTCATGTTGTTTTGATTTACATTTCTGTAATGGTTAATGATGGTGAACATTTCTTCCATGTTTGTTGGCTGCCCAAATGTCTTCCTTGGTGTAGTGTCCATGTTCTGTACACAATTTTTAATTGGGTTGATACTTGATAACTTTTGAAAGATTGTATGTGACAGGCACTCCTTCTGCCAACTTTTAAAGGCCTTTTGTGCTACAGTTGCAAAGACAGAATCATAAAAATACAGCAAGGTTTTAAGTGTTTCGAAAGTCCACAAACTGGAGGTGCTCCTTCTTCCTTGTGCTTGTATTATTTTGAAAGAAAGGTCAGAGCCATTGGTGTATTGGAATGGGTCCTACTGACCTGAGGGCTGATTGTTAAAATTTTAGGGATGCTGAAACTGATTGTTAAACACAGCTTTAATAGTTAAATTACATAAACTTGCTACAAAATTAGTGACATTTAAAACAAAGATAATAAATACTCAAAACTCATTACTTCCTAATTATTTTACTACATTTATCTATGCTCTGAGGTTATTTACATTTATTGTACTTAAACAATTATTGTATCTAATACATAATGGGCTCAAACATACCAATGATCATGAAAGCACCACAAGACTAGACATTTCATTCTATTATACATAGGTTGCCAGGAGTTGGAGCTGATTGGATAGCAACTGACGTGGCGCTGTAGGATCAGCACTGGACTGCTAACCACAAAGTTGATGGTTCAAACCCACCAGCTGCTCCTTGGAAACTCTGTACTGGGTCACTGTGAGCCAGAACTCCATGGCACATAACAATAACAACAGCAACATGATTGAAATATATAGCAGTTTACTACTATGCATTCTTTCTTCTACTTGGTGTTCAGTGACATAATGTTGGTAGCTTGAAATCAGCCACAGTGAGATGTTTACAACACAGAAATTGGCAAATGCCATAAATCAGGGCTAAATTTATTGTTTACTGATTGGTTTATACTTCAAGTGATAGAGAAAAATGTTACAATGCAACTTAAAATCTTCGGCCATTACATTGTGAATAACACACACAAAAATGAAATATTGTTCCAATACCTTATAATTACTACTACCCAATTTGAGCCTTGATGTGGCACTGTAGCATAAGCACAGGACTGGTAACTACAAGGTCAGCAGTTGAAACCCCACCACTTGGTCTTGGGAAGCCTATGCAGACATGCTATGGGTAGGAATGAACTCAACGGCACACCACCACCACAGCGGTCCAGTTTAGCAGAACTCACATCACTGACAGCATTGATCTAAATGAAAATAATCAGTTGATACTCATGTGCAAACTACATTTAAATGGTTGATAAATTTACCATCTCTGGTCAAGGTACAATTGAATTCACTGTATTGGTACGAAATAAATAATCATACATTTACTACACTGTTATTTGATTTTAAGAAATAGTATTATGACAACATGCTCATTAACTAAGGAAAAAAACAGGTTGAGTTTTAAAAGTCAACCATACAGCATTATTTAGGAATATATAATCTGAAATCTTTATATATGTGTTGCTGATTAGAAATAGAATCATAGAATTTAGGATTGGATGCACTCTTAAAAATTAATCCAGACCAGCCAGCTATACTGCTAGATATTCCTTCTCTAGTCGCACATGGAGTTCATTATCTGAGGATAGTGTTTAAAAGCTGTACAATAGAGTTTGTTCTTACATTGATTTAAACTTTGTTTTCCTTTAATTTCTTCCAATTGATTCTTCTCTGAAAATGCAGAAACTTTCTCTCTTTTAGAGAACTTGCGGCATAAAGTTAGCTAATATTTCTAGTCAGACTTCTTTTGGTGCAAAGTATACTTTTAGTCCCTTTAGCCGAAAACATTGTGTGTTTTCTAGAATCTGCACCTAAAACTTTGTAAGCATTCACATCACTGCTCTTTGTTTTTTATTGATATCATGGATGAAATAAAAGGCTTTAGATTTTTTTTGTGTGTGTATAAATAGTACACTAGTTAAGTTCTGGTTTTGTTTTGTTTTTTAAACCCTAAAGCAAGCTTTACATTTTGTATTGCTTTCAGTACGGCATTCCAGACTGTAGAAATGATATTGAATTATCCTTTTATAATTTTTGAAATTTATTAATCATACCAGTTTTGTGTTCTGTGAAAGTTTGGTAAGTACTCAGTATTTATTGTCTGCATACAAATTATTAAAATGCTGAATTTCAAATGACTGTGGAGACAAAAGTGCCCATTAAATAAACCCCTTCTGAATTAACTTCTGTCTATTATCAGTGCTTTTTATCATTTGATTAGTTGTGACTCTGTCTTCTAATTGTACTGTTGTTAGGTACCATTGAGTTGGTTTCTACTCAATAACCCTGTACAGGTTTTCTAAGGAGTGGCTGGTGAGTTTGAACCACTGACCTTGTGGTTCTAACTGACCTTGTGGCCCTGTGCTTTATCCCATAGCACCACACTAGGACACCAATTTTATTAAGTGTCCATATTTTACCATCTTATCCAGAAGGTCACCTTGATGCATTTGATCAAATGCTAAAAGAAATCAAGGTACATACACTATGTCTGAACCGACTCTACGGCACTTAACAACAACAACAACAACAACACTATGTCTGTTATATCTTATGCAAAGAAACATACCTTTATTGTTGTTGAACGCCATCCAGTTGATTCTGACCTTTAGCGACCCTATATAGCATTACCAAGGAGCAACTGGTGAATTTGAACCACCGACCCTGCAGTTCAAACAGCTTTGCAGTCTGGCGCATTAACCCACAGTGTCACACCAGGACTCCATACCTTAAACATACCTTAGTAATTCTTTATTTTAAAATTAGTTATTGTGGAAAAATCCTTACATAGCTAAATGTTGAAGTCTTATTCTTCCACAAGTGGAAAGGTAGACAGTCCATGAAGAATGGCATGTTAGGTATTATGAATTATATGAGTCCAGAAAATTGGAGGGAGATGGTGAGGCTTAATTCTAAGCCAGCATGAAAAGTGTTCTTTAAATGCATCAAAAGAGAAAATCAACAAAAGGTCATTGGGGACACTCGATTAGGGCCATGGGATAGACATAGGCTGAGAAAGAAAATAGTCTATATCATGAGAGTAGACATCTGGATCACATGGCAATTTAGAGATTTAGACGAGACTAGACAGAACTTGTTAGCTCTTCTTTTCCTCTTCTCACTGCTTCCTTTGAAAAGTATG